GGAGGTATGCCTGGTATTTCCCTACCAATTTTAATTAATGGTGCATTTAAGCATTATGGGCTTGATTGTGTTGGCAATAAGCTAAACGCGCTTATTTACCAGGCGAAACCCGCTACATGCGCTTATTTTGAGTGGCAAAGGGTCACGCTGCGCTTGAAAGACCGAAACTGCAGCGGAAACAATCGCGCGTTGCTTAAAGTACCATTTTTAATCACACTTAGCTTATAATTCCTGCAGTCCGAAATAAATTGACAGTCCGGAAAATTTCCGACTCGCGTTATATGTACACTATGTGACTTTGTCCCATTCTAAGCCCTAACTTTCCATGGGAGTTGTGAGCTAGACCGCTGCACCTCCCCTAATCTTTTCCCACCTCCCCCACTATTTCCACCAAAATCCAGTCTTGATGCACCAGATTATATGACAATATAGCATTTAGACCTTCTGTTGGTTCATCAAGTACAGGCCTCGATCACCAGTCATTGATTGCTAAACTTTTTAGTTTGATTCATTTTGATTCATTTTACTTCTACAGCGGAGATTGAAGGTAAGACAACAAAAATGATGTATAAAGAATATGGCTTGGATATAGAAGACTAGTACAGTACAGTGTGGACAGTTGTATTTTATTTACAAAAAAAGGTACTGTACATTTCATAGAATACATGGCCAGGATTAAGGTTGATATTTTGTTGTACGAATCTTCGAACATGAAGTTTGGGACATGAAAAGGGATATAGCATACATAGATGTACGGGAGGAAAAAATTAGGGACAGAAAGAAACTTGTCCAACTTTTTTGCATTTTTGCCTGGCTTATTAAAAAAAATAGTATGTGCAAAATTTCTGAAATTCTTGTCGATGGGATCAGGGCTTATAATTTGCCTGATTTCATGGAGAGACGGCCTCGGACCCCCTCCTCCTAATGCCCTTGTGAATGCTACCTTCGTCACCACATAACCGCATATACTTCTTTCAAAAAGCTTCCTACAGTACTGAAAATTGTATTAGGAATCCTGCATTAACATAGTGGAAACGAATCTCAATTCTCGTCAACTTCTTTTATTAATTGTACCAATATTAACAGGGTGTGATAATTCGCATACTTACGTACCAGAGGTACACCAATATTATTTTTTTTACAATATTTTACAATTTTAACAATTTTATTGAGAATTCTACAACGTTTTATGCACAACAGTTCTATATAGAAGTAAGTAGAATACTCAAATGGACAATATCACGCACGAACGAGACATAAAGTCCCATGCAAAGGTGCTTACCATTCTAAAGGCCCGGTCACACTACACAACGATAACGATACGATAAATTGTAAACACGCGATAATTGGCAAAAAAATTGTGTTAGTGTCCACACAACAACGAAAATGATAAAATTATCGTTAGACGATAACGATAACGATTTTAAAATCGC